CATGACTGATCTGGAAGCCCTATTTTTTCTTTAAACGGTCAGCAAATTACGTGTAGTTATACAAATAGAGCACTACGGTCATGGCGCTTGAGAGCAACCCAGAAAGTTTGTACAAGGATCCAATCGAGGACACTCAGGACAGCAAAGGCCGCTATGATGACGAGGATAGCGGACAACCAAAAGAGTTTTCTCACGTAAGGAAGCAATTATAGATGTTTCTAGTATTGTTACATCCGGCAGTAAATAAGTTACAGTACAGTCTCCATTAGCCTGAGTTCCAGCACCCACTATCCGGTATACTACAGTGCAGGCCGGTATATGTACTACCCTATTTTAAGGTACAAGGCTTAAGGAGACAATTATTAGCATGTACTTATATTAGCATGTACTTATATTAGCGTGTACTTATATTAGCGATTTTGTATTTAATTTAGCATTTTTGATAATTAATTTAATATTAATAACTTAAATCAGAAATTAAAGTTAGTGCCGCAAGTTAGCGATACCACTAAAATTTGCTAATTTAAATACCCGCTATCAATTATCTCCTTAAGGTATACCGAGGCTGGAACAACACTATAGACCACCTGCACATTAGGTAACACTTCTTTGATGTCGGCAAAACATTGGGTTACACGTGGTCAGGCACACCCACTGGTTGGCAAAAAGCAAAATGACTGCATCAGATGTAAGCATTTTATGTTTTTGTTTGAGGATGCCAGAAAGCAGCTATGTTGCAAAACTGGGATCTGTTGGTTAGATGATCCATTATGGCCCTTATTTGTCTGAAAAAACAATGTCCAATTTACATCAGGGATGAGGAAATGGCAAAATCTAGAATTTGGCCCTACCATTGTTAGCAGGCCTGGGTCATTCACACAAGAGCAGCTCATGTCCTGGAAACAACTACAGAGGCCTACAAATACTACAAGATTCGACATATTAGCATAATTTTTTGTCTTTTTGGAAGAGGAGGAAGAAAGTTAGCTGTAAGCTTCTTCATGTAGTTATAAGGCCCTTAGTTGAAGAAGCTTTCGCCAAACTGTCTTTTAGGCAGTTTGTTTATTTGCCTGACACTGCTCGTATCTTATTACTCTTAGCTCTATATAGGCAAAAACAGTAAGGACTGTCTATATTAGCAGGGTTATTAACCAACCTTCCTATTAGCAAAACAATCTTAACTTAGTCGTGTATGCTTGGTTGGTTTCCAGTTTTTTCTCTTTATAGTGTTTATCCACAAGTTTTTCCTTGTTATTGGAAAAGCTGGGATTCTATAGAAGCCAAGTTCCTTGTTTTCTCCATGCCTGTTTTGACACCCAACAGCACCTTAGCTCACTACCATTATTTTTGCTTTTTGCCAACCAGTGGGTGTGTCTGACCACATGTACCCCAATGTTTTGCCGACTTCAAAGAAGTGTTACCTAATGCATGGGTGGTCTATAGATGTAGTAATTTAGTACTATAAAGTAATCTAGTAATTTAATAGTAATTTAATTACTTAATAGTAATTAGTGATATTAAATGTGGCATGTAGCCACTATGACTAGGGTGACTCAATGCAGTGATGCACAGCCCAGGCTAGCCCTTTTAGGCCAAAATTTTTTGACAAAGCCTGATTAGCCTATCCTCATAGTGTAAACATAAAAAATTTAAAAAAAA